TGATTTTATTAATGAGTTGGAACTGTTTGAAGCAGTGTTGTCTTCATCTTTGTGTGGTCTAGCACAGTGATTGGCATATAATATTTATTGAGAATTTTTTCACTGAACAAAATTAAATCATACAGATTGCTGTGGTGATACATGATTTCTTCTTTCCTGTGTACAGCTTAGTACGTTATGATACAGAATTGATCAGAGTAAAATACTAGTATGCATTTTTTTCTTATCTAAATTTTCTCTCCATTGGACTGGGATAATAGAACCCGATATCCTAAATTTTTCGTTAGAATTATTTATATTTATTTTTAAAAATGTGTTTAACTCTAGAAGGGTCTATATAAATGCAATTTTAATTTATTCTTGCTTTTATCATTGCTGTTGTCAATAAAAAGTAATCATAAATTCCTACCTTCACATTGAAAACTGGCTTAAGTTTAAACTTAAGAGTTAAGTTTCGTCCAGGTATGTATGCTGCAGCCCACAAGTCTACACAGATGAGCTATGTTACTTTATGTATGGCTTACACAGAGGACAGAAAGGCTACTATTATCCAAAAAAATTGCTTATTACAAGTTCAGTCTGACATTTTTCAATGGAACTGAACTTGTTTGTGAAAATTGGCCATTCGACCAGCTTTCAGTAAATATCCCAAGGACACTTAACCAATAATGTATTTTGGTTTTATCAATGTATCATTATGAATATTTGAAGTTTTCCAGTAATAGATATATTCTTAAATAACAATCTAAGGTTAAGAAATTGTGGCGAAAGACTAAATTAGGACAAATCACAAGTGTAGACATGATGAATTCAGGCCACTTCAAGAGAAAGCCCTAGAGATGTTTGGGTCTTCACTGCTTGAGCAAAAACGTCTGGCCTCTCCACAGTGTTTTTGCTCCTCATTCTGTATACAGCATTGTTATGTTTCTGTGTAGTCACAGTTATCCTTCATTTTCTTTCTGGTTCTTCCCTGGGAGTTATGCTTAGAGAACTACTTTCCTGTCTTAGTAACATTTTATGATCACATTTTTAAAAACATTTGCTAATTTAATCCATTTGATAATATTTAGTGTATAAAGTGAGGTAGGGGCATGATTTATTTCCAAGTAGCTTGCTACTTGCCCCATTATTATTTACAGAATGGTCAACCTCTAAATTGATTTGCAATATCATACTATCAAGTATTAAATCCATTTACATGCTGGGAAACTTTCCAATGTTTTCTCTTGTTTTCATTTATTAATTTGCCACAAAATTTTAATTAAAACTATAGATAGCAACATTTTAATTTGGAAGTAAACTTTATATTAGTCTTCCTTTTAAATATTTATTGACTCTTATTTTTCATTTCATTCCAAATGAATCTTAGAATCACTTCATTAAGTTGTAAAATTTAAAAACTAGGTTATTTTGATTGCAAAGTAGTAAATTTATTAATTAATGGAGGAGAAATTTTAATTTTTTATGAGTTTCCACACAGAAACATTATATTAGCCTGTATGTTTTTCTTTATCCTTACCCTCTTTCTAAAGCATTGTGAGGTTTTTTAGGTTTCTGTCAAGAAATATTTGTTTGTTGTTAATGATAATAACTAGCAAGCTACTTGGAAATATATATATGTATATATCTATATAAAATAAATCAGATAGACATTAAATGGATTGTTGCAAATGCTAAAAGATAAACTGAGGCATATTAAAAATATTAAGAATATATTTGAGCAGAAATGGATTTGAATTGTGCTTTGCCAAACTGAAAGTACGTAGAAGGTATCCACTTACAGGAGCTAGGGGAAGATTTTTATAGAGAAGATGTGGAAACAAAGCAAGGACATTCTTTGATTGGCTGTAGCTTAAGGATTTGCCGTATTTGGGAAAGCCCAGTTGGCTGTTTGTGATCGGTTATCCTTAGGTTTTGGTTTCTTAACCTTGGAGCATTTACTAGATTAGGTTTGGGTTTGCCTAAGTAGGCTGCTAAGGCATTAGAACCACCTCAGTCTAATGGCTTCCTTGTTTAATTAATGTAACGCAAATAATTAATTAACTACAAATGTTTACAGTGCTTGAAGGAGAGCATTATTTATCTGTAGTATGAATAATTTATGTCAGAAAAATGAACTGTCCATTTGAGGCTATTCAGATGGGGTGGCATATATGAGCCTTCCGCTAGATGATCTTCTTACAGTGGATTTACAGCAGCTGTCTCTAGAAGGTAAGATCTTCCCTGAAAATTATATGAAGAAGAGATGATAGCTGTTCTGTGCATATAAATGCTAGGAGTTAGCTTACAGGTATTGGCTGGGCTTCCATCCAAATGAATGGCATGGTCTTAAATTTGACTTTATTTTATTCTGTAATATATTGGTCAATAGTTGGTGGTAGAGGGAGGAAAAGCCCTAGACTGTAGTGCCTATTAATTCTGCAGTGTAAAATATATATTTCTGCTATAGCTGATTTCAAGCTACTAACTTGCAACATTCCTGAAAATTTAACAATTGATCAAGCCAGCTCTGTGTACCATTGGATCCCTCCCTTTCCCCTCCTGGATCCTCTGGTCTCTGCTCTAACTCACCTTCTCCAAGGCCCTACGCTCCATCCTTCCTCAATCTGCCCTGTGCTCTCAAGCTCTTTGGAAACTCTCTTGCTATGCATATGCGATGTCATAAACTAAGAGCTGCTTTCTTAAAGAGGAACATTTTGAATGTGAACAACATTCTTGTAGGAGTTAAAAGAAACCAATATCACCATTTCTTTTTCTTTTTCTTCTTATATAATAGTCTGTCACACCTTGAGGCAATGAAGATGCCGCCAACTGGCCAGGGAAAAAGGGTCAGAAAGTCCAGGCAGTCACAGAGATTAATATTTTAAAAGCTTGGCAAACTATGGCTTAGAGTCAATGGATACTTTTCATCTGAGGCTCACAAATCCATTAATAGTATCAGGTCATTTCACTAGTGTCTAGTCACTGGTTATAACATGTGGAAGGTAGTCTACTCTTACTGTATACAGGGAAGAGAGGGGAAGAAAACATGAGAAACTATCGCCTTGCCAGCCCTCCAAAAAGCCACTTGATTCTGTCACCCAGGGAAATGTGTGGCGATCTGCAGGCGTCCGAATACTGCTGGGTCACGCTTTGAGTGCCCAGGGAAGAGGTGACTGAGGAAGGGGTGCCACTCCTGAGGCACAGGTTTGCCACAGAGCTCAGCGGAATGGTGGCCAGAGAACTATTTGGACAGTGAATCAGAAGACACTCAGAGAAGAACCATCAGACTCTCTCATTCCTACCCCCTTCCATCTTCCTTCTGCTAACTTTGCTATGGAGATAAGGAAAACGCAGTATGGAGATGCTGCTGCAAGGGATGGGGTCAATTTTTTGATCAACGAAAGGTAGATCTCTTTATATCTGGAATTATTTTTGGATTTTGGGCCAGTTTATTGGTGATGTAAAGAGGCTTCCTGAGGAAATTCTCTGTCTGCTTATCTGAAGCTGTTCCAGTAGCCTCTGGGTTGAATCTGAGCCAGTAAGGAGGAAAACTTGGAGCTCTTATTTCTTACGCCTTTTTAACTTGCATGGTGTAGATCAAATAGAGCCCTTGGACAGCTAGGCTTTTATATTTTAAACGATAGAAACTATTTATAGCGATACCACAGTCAACATAAAAAAAAGTTGTTCATTTTTGATCCTGATCCTTCTGGGAGGTAGGTTACTTCTTACGGATGTGACTAAAGATATTTGTCCTCTTGCGCAAAAAGAGAAAATGGGAGGGAATTGGGTAACTCAGGTGCCCGCCCTGCCTCAGGCCACGTAGTTATTTATCTGGAGAGGCAATAGAGAGCAGAGTTGGATCTTAGCAGGACTCCCTGGGATAATCAGAGAACTCATGCCAAAAGAGTCCACCCTGCTGAGTTGACAAGGCCTTGCTGTTTCTGGTGCTTCACTTGCTGATGTTGGAACACAGGGCAGGGTTGAAGTTGTTAGATGCTATTCTCGGATAGTGTGCAGGAGTGATGCTTTGTCCAAATAACCAATCTAGTGTTGTACTGTGCTTACAAGGATGAAAATATGGCCAGGAATTTGCAAACACTTGAAGAAATTCACCAAAATAATGGGTGCATAGGACTTCTCTCAAGGAATTGAGTTAACATGTGATATAAGACCAAAAAAAAAAAAAAAGAAAAGAAAAGAAAAGAAACAACCCAACAACAAAGAAATGAATAAAATTATTATATTCATGGAATAAAAGCAGGCTAATGAAAAAAAGACAAAGTTCTTGAAAATTAGATACATTAAAAAAAAATCTCAGGAGATGAGCTGACTAGCACGAACACCAAACTGACTGAGCAGAAGGACAGGGAAGATGGAAACGTTACAGGGAGAAAATGTATGGTTAACACGACCAAATCTTAGTCCATTAACACAATACATTCTTTTCAGTAGATGGCAATGAAAGCCTTATAGTCAACAGGATTATCAGTATAGAGAGACAGAAGTACATTTAATGAAAGTGTTTGCTTTATTACCGTGTTGCCCCCTCAGTTTTCATTATCTAGTTTAATTAGAACAATTGCTATACTTTTTGAAAAGATTTTATTTATTTATTTTTAGAGAGAGGGGCAGGGAGAGAGAAATAGAGGTAGAGAAACATCAATGTGTGGTTGCCTTTCCCATGCCCCCAGCTGGGGACCTGGCCCACAACCCAGGCATGTGCCCTGACTGGGAATCGAACCAGCAACCTTTCAGTTTGCAGGCCAGCACTCAGTTCACTGAGCCACACCAGCAATGGCAGGATAACTGCTATACTATATAGACTATTGAAATATTTGCTTATAAGTATTTTATATTAAAATATATTAAAAATTTATGTAAAACAAAGAGATATTTTAACTAGTTGAAATATATTACTGATAAAATATTTAGGAATTTTTAATCAACCTTGTAGTCATGTATTTTAAACTTACTCTTTTATAAACAACTGAATTCTTTTTTTTAAATGTATTTAGGGTTTGGAAACATCTCACCTCGAACGGAAGGGGGAAAAATATTCTGTATCATCTATGCCTTACTGGGAATTCCCCTCTTCGGTTTTTTGTTGGCTGGAGTTGGAGATCAACTAGGGACCATATTTGGAAAAGGAATTGCAAAAGTGGAAGATACGTTCATTGTAAGTATGATAGCCTTTTAATTACCTGTAGTTATTGTTTAATCTATTAAAATATTACACTCTTTCTATTAGCTTCTAAATTACATTTAGGCATTCATTATTGGACTTTCCATAACAATTTACAGGTACTCCTATTAGCATTGCGTAGTTATTTTTCACTTACCTGAATGAATAAATTAATGCATAAAAAACCCTAAAATATGCATAGAAAGTAGAAATCTGACAGTCACAAGTTCAAAATTCAGATATGTTGTCTCCTACTTATATTCTCCATTGTGTCATTCATTTAATGTGAATAATGGTACTGATGATGAGGTATTACTGTAAGAATTAGAGATAATAGAAGCTAAAGCTTAACCTAGCTAGTAAAGACTGATTACACCTCGTTATTTAAAAATTGCTTTGGTACCCTTGGTCATTGCTGGTGTCATTGTAAACTTAAATAGCCTGTCTGTGAAGGACATCATAATATATAGCAAACATAGTAAAGGTGATTATATAACTTAATTTAGCAATGTCATTGATAGAAATTTATCTAAGGGATGTAATTCAGTAGAACCAACAGTAATATATATGAAGATGTTCATGGACATATATTCAATAGAAAAAATAAATAAAATGAAAATGCTTCAATTAGAATTTTGAGTAAAAAATGGTAATACCATCATCATGACTATAAACTAATATTCTTGAAGAAAATTATGGATAAAGAACATAATTGTGTTAGAGAATGGGGTTATAAATTATTTATTACTACTGTTACCACTATTACAAATGCATTTTATTTATTATTCAATAATGTTTTATATTTTCACAACATTTTCCACAAAGCATTTTATGTTTAACTCTATGGATGAAATAACACTATTGAGTATTCTTTTTAAGTTTAAAATATAGTTCCAGTTTTTAGCATTTTCATATATAAGTTCAAAGCTCACTCTCAAATATTTAGAATGGAGTATGCATAGTTATTCCAAAACAGAAGTTTTATCCTTTTTAGGGTATTATACTTTTCTTATATTGATATTAAAAATAATTTGTATTTTTATTAATTGAGAAGTGGTATTAGTGACATGAACTTGGTAGTACTGAATTGTTCATTTATTCAACAGAGTTTTGGGTGCCTATGGGATGCTGGGTAGTATTTTTCATGCTGCGCCTACATCACTGCATAAAACAAATTCCATGCCCTATTAGTGAATAAAGCCCAGTGGACGTGATTCAGCATTCAGTACTAAATGCTTCTGAGAACTTTACAATGTGATTTCTTTTACTCTCAGATATATGATAAGGATGGCGGGCTAGAAAAACTTCTATTTTCACTTTCCATTCAGTGGTTTCATGTATCTTCACTACTAGAAAATTTTCAACCTCCAGAATTCAGTAGTTCATCTATGGTGCGGGGCCGTGACCTATGATTTTCACACTGGATGGGACAGATTTAGAGATGAAAAAATGTATGGTGATTAATCTCAAAAGGAGATCTGGAGATAAACTGCATTCATTACAAACTTTATTTAATGTCGCACTGTGGAGGTTATTGATAACAGAAAGAGGTGAAAAAATATGGGCAATCTGATGACAGCTGTTTATCCTTGCTAATATATCATCGTTGACGTGTTTCGTTTTGCAGGTTAAGGCCATAGAACAGAGAGACAGTTCCTCTGGTTCTTATGGGGATTAACTGTGAACTTTAAGTCTGTTAATATTACCCTTTAATCCATTGAATAATGAATGGAAAATGTGATAGGAGTGAGAGGGAGTAATCTTACCAATTATCAGTAGTTAATATTTAATTCATGGTTCATTTTTTTCTGTTTTCATATATTTCTAGTTTGTGTTTCTCTTGCAATCAATTGTATGCCTATAGAGTAAAAATATTTTAAGAGTAGTTCAAGTAAACAAAAGAATGATGTAAATCTGAAATTCTATTCTCAAGGCAAAGGTAATTGACTTTTGAGAGTATTTTACCTGTTGTAAAGCTACATAAGACAAAAGTAGTATCCTTTTGTTATTTATGTTATATCCAATTTTGTCTTTACTTATAAAGACAATAGAAAATTAATCATAAAAATGAAGAAAACAACCTTTTCACTTGCTAGTTTGCTGATAACGGTGTGGATATAGATTAGCTTTGTGCATGCACCAGTGATCAATTAATCTCAGTCAGTTCCCCTTTCTCTCTCTCTCTCCCTTCCCTAGAAGTGGAATGTTAGTCAGACCAAGATTCGCATCATCTCAACAATCATATTTATACTGTTTGGCTGCGTGCTCTTTGTTGCTCTGCCCGCAATCATATTCAAGCACATAGAAGGCTGGAGTGCCCTGGACGCCATTTATTTTGTGGTTATCACTTTAACGACCATTGGATTTGGTGACTATGTTGCAGGTGAGTTTTTCCTGGCACAAACCTTGCTGTCCTGACCCATGGCCCTTAGGCTTTTCACTTGGGTTTGCGATACAACACAGTGCCTATATTAGTTTCCTGAGGTTGCCATAACCAAGCGTCACAAACTGGGTGGTTGTAAACAAAAGAAATGTATTCTCTCATGGAAGTTCAAAATCAAGGTGCCAGCAGCAGCGTGATCCCTCTGAGACTGGGCGGAATCCTTCCTTGCCTCTGTCCAGCTCCAGGTTGGGGACCCTCAGTCATCGCTGGTTCATGCCTGACAGCCGCATCACTCCCATCTCCCTGCCGTCTCTGTCCTTTCTCCCCGTGTCTCTGTTGCTGTGTCCAAATTTCCCTCTTCTTATAAGAACACCGATCATATTAAAAACAAAAAAACGCCAGTCATATAGTATTAAAAGCCCACTCTCATCCAGTATGACATCATCATAACTAACACATCTGTAAGGACCTTATTTTCAAATTAACCTCCAGAGTAATGGGGTTAGGACTTTTATGCATATTTTTGGAAGACACAATTAAATCTGTAGTAGCAACAAAGCCAGAAACAGTCATTCCATGACAGTGGAGGTAAGTAGATGAATGCAGTTGAACATTTTTTATTCTATGGAAAAGACTTGATTGCTGGTTGTTCAGACTTTTATATTCCCACCCTATTTTCAGAAACCTAACATCAGCCCCTTATTTTTAAGTGCTACAAGAATTTAACTTATCTTTGCTTAGGCCTTTTCATATCTTAGTTTGAAAAAACAACTATACACTTTAGAAGATGTTCTTAGCTACTTAAAAACTTCTTTCCTTTAAAATATTTACCTTTTTAAATGTTTAATTCTCAGGACAGTATTTTTAGCTTTAGCTAAAGTATCCACATTCTTCATTAATTTTAAAAATTTTTTTCTCTTCTATATATGTTATTTCAACTGCTACTTGCTTTATTGTTATAGTTCCCGGGACTTAATATTTCTATCATTTCAACTCTCTTTTCCCCCTGTTATATTATTTAATTATTATTGCTCTAACTTCAGTTTTAAATAGATTATAATTATGTTAACAGTAATGTAATAATGTACTATCGTGGATCATTTTGACCACCTCCTGAAAAGCTAAGCCATTCTTTAAAAAAAAATTAGTTTGGAGTATTAGAAAAACATGCCAAATATTATAGTAGGAATGTGCCGTTAAATTTTCCAGAATAAACTCACCGGCCAAATTTAGTTTTAGGAAAGTTTCATACTTTCTGATTATTTACTGTTTCTTCTTGACCCAGACTTCTTACTTCAATATTTTCAGAAAGAGAATATCTTGTATAGTTCTATAAAATCTCAGAGAGGCTGACAGTTCACATGTTTTTATTGAGTGGTTAATAAGTGTAATTTGGCAAGGCCTTCCTTTCTGGGGAATGTATAATGTCCTTGAAGATGAGAATGTTTTCAGGAGTGAAGCTTTGCTTTGGTCAGAAGTGCTATGTACACACATCTGTGTGCTGCAAGGAGGCCTTGGGACGGGGGGCACTCACTCTGCTGGGGGTCTTTGAGTTTTCCAATGAGCAAATGTGGAGAGAAGAATCTCAGACATTTGTACCTCCATATAAGAGCTTCTGTCCTAAAACATCCATTTTTCCGCCTCTCATCAAAGCTGTGAATTTGATTTAAGTAGAAGTGGCAAGTGTATTAATACAGGAGAAAGCGAGACACAGTAATAAGAAAACTTATACTTGTGGTGTGTTAATCGTAGGCTCTTATGCCACTTTATAAGTATAATTAACAAGGTCACATAAAAACTAGAGTATATAGGTATGAGGTGATGCATCTTCTACTTTGAGGCCAACATTATTGTATTGCCTGTAATATATTTTTTAAATTTTTAATGTTTATTTTTATGGTAATGCATAGTTTTATTTATTTTTCAGCTTTATTGAGATATAATTGATAAATAAAATGGTAAGATATTCAAAGTGTACATCATGGTATTTCATACCATCTAGTTAATTAAAACACCTCACATATTTATCTCCGCCCCCCCTTTATTTTGGCGAAAACATTTAAGTTCTACTCTCTTAGCAAATTCCAATGATATAATACAGTGTATTTGTTTTTTCAACAGTTGGCAGACTTTATCAGTCCAGAGGCCCACATGGCCTGAGACTCTAAAGAAACAAAAATTATAAAAATAAATAATGTGGGTGGACTCCTAAAATAATGTTGTACGTTTGTGACCACAGTGTAAATTGGCATAGAAAAAAGGGACAAATATTTTTACTTTATGGTTTTGTAGAAGATGAAAAACAATATTTTTAAAACTTACCTTAAGAGCTCAACACTCTGAAGCTGGCTGGGTCATGTGGATTTCATTAGCATCCAGTCTCATTGCCCGTTGCCCGCAGAGAGAAGTTCAATGAAAACATCTTGTGCCTATTGGTGACCCTGCAATGTAGAGTCATGGCACAGGACTGTGGGGGGCAGTAACAAAATGCTATTTGCATGGCACTGAGTTTAATGTAATACACATCTTTATTATTACGAGGGCTTTATTTTTTGTGACCCCCTTTGAATTCATTATTTTAATTTTACAGAGGCAATAATGAAAAGTGCTAGAAATACCCTTTGCTAAGAATTCACAAAGCCACGTGCTATGATTGAAGTGACAAATGCTGAGAAAGATAAATGAGAGAAGAGGCAGATCGACATTAGTTTTGTTGACTTATCTCTCTCTCCTTAATTTATGTATTTTGTAGCTAATCTGGCCTTTGTGAGACTGTAGCACCCTGCTCCTCATACTGTAGTCTTTACGCACTAGGTCTTGTGCTCAGGGAGCGTTTTGGCAGGAGAATGTGGATGAGGGGGCAAGTATCTGGCAAAGGCTGGGTAGGAAATGTGTGCCCTTTGCAAAAGTCTTTGGAAAAACAAAAATTAGGAGTTTTTTTTAAAACATCTTGGGAAAGAATTGCCTTATATAGTTCAACATAAAAAAATAGTCTTTGGTTCTGGGTGTCTCATGACTATAAAGTAAAATTAGTCATTGAGTTAAGGCAAGTACCCCACCTGGGGAGTGTTGGTTGTTTACTTTTTTTTTAGAACCTTCACTCTTGCTATTGGATGTCGCTCCTGATAGTGTTTTCACTTTATTTTGATGTATTTGCTGGGGAAAATCAAGAGGCATTGCTGTGACTTAAACCTTCTTATCTTTCTGCTGGGCTATCAATATCCAAAGAAAGCAATGCCTTACCTCTCCTAACGCGCACTCACTGTCTGGCGCCCTTCTCAAGCCTGCACACCCTGCTCTGAGGAGGATTAGGGTTCACTCACACTGTTGTATGGAACTTCTTTGAACACAAATTCAAGAACTGCAGTCTTCAAACCATTGTGTTATTGAAAGAAAAGTAGTACATTTTGGAAAGTGATATGTGTATAAATGTTTGTAACTATTGGGAACATCTCAAGAGCAGCAAGTGAAAAAGTGGTGTTTTAGACCAGAACTCTGAAACAGAGCTCATCCTCAGGGAATGAGCAAGAAGTTCCTCCCCATAAGACTTTCTACCATGGGAAGAAAACAGAACAATGCCTATTTCTATGTACTCTTCAATCTCTTTCCTTACATGTCATAATATACATGATATAAATTAGCACAAAATAGATTTCTAATTTATAAATAAATATATTTAAATTTGCATGAGCCAGACCTTTTCATTGTTGGTGATAATGAGTCAAAAGTATTCGGGGACCGCTAGTTAGGGCACAACAACCTAGCGTTTGGCTTTCTGTGTGTATGTGACTGAACAGAGGAATTCAACATTTAGTAATTTTTCTGTAGGAAGAGCTCTCCCAGCAAATTTTAATTTTATATTTACATGTATGCGAGGGAGGAGTTTTAGTGGCTGGTGGGCTACCTCAGTGATCGGTGTCGGCTTCCTCATGGTGGCCCAAAGTTCTAGAGCTCAGTGTTCTAGGGCTAAGGAGAATGTGCGGGCCCTGACCCACTGCAACACCTTTATTTTATATGTGGACAATCATAGCCCTATTGTTGGGAGTGCTGCATGCAGTACACCCCTCCCGCAAAGGTGAGAAGAAAGTAAATTATTTAGCATACTGTCATATGCTTGATTTGAGCAGTGCTTAGACTATATAGTCACATGTATAGAGGCAAGTTAAAGTTAATGGCAAAATTATATTTGAGAGCTAACTGTTGATTTCCTATGTTCTGCTTCTTAACTTTTGTCTTTTTTTTATTAGATGAGAAGCCTGGAGTTAATAAGTTGCTAAACCATGTTTACCTTAAAGACGGAGAGCTACTTATATGGAATTGTGTGAAAAATTGAATTCTACTTATTCAGGCTTGTTTTTACAACTAATCTCCTAAGTCCATAATTTAAAAAAAATAGTTGGTGATTCCTCAAAATTGGAGAAAAGTCAAATTAATTACCAACTTAACACAATTTAAAATATTTTTAAAAGCTAGTGTCCTCTTTAATATATACTGTTAGGGTTAGAGTAGATCAGTTTCCACAAATTGTTTAGAAGCTGCTCAATGAAATGCTTAGAAATATTCCTTTTCATAAACCAGGTTAGTTCATAAGAGATAATATGAATGAGTGAAAGCCAGATGCAAATTTATATTTTCACAAAACAATGAGTTCATATTACCATTTACTAATAAAAACCAAAAGTTTTAGCCCAAAATTTAAGTGTTCCAAGAAATCTTCATGGTTGATATTATGCAAACACATTTTCCATCTGAACATACATTTATTTAGTTATCCAAATATATCTTCTTGGAATTTTGATCATTGAAATTTAGTATGTTTAGTTGAATAATGAATTTTTCTTCATCTCACACATAGTTATTGTATGCTTACTGGGTAAATCAGGCTTTATGTTTAGTGCCTTATGGTCTTCTATATAGAAAATGTAACTGGGGTTCTTCCCAGATAAGATTCTTCTTCTGGTGCATTTATCTTTACTAAATTTTTACAAATTTTCAAAGTT